TTACAAATTTACAATACATGTAATTTCACAGAATATATAGTATCTAGAGATGGGCAAATTGCGGTTTTTCCAAAAATCCCATGTTGGATTCATTAATTACACTTAATGGGCGGCCACGATTTCTTCACTAAAAATTCGAGTAATTTTGTCTAAATTTTTGGTCGTTGCCATTGGCCAATCAAAATAGTGAATTTCCACATATTTTTTGCAAGGTTTAATAGCAGTAATTACATTAAGCACGTCCTTGGTTAAAGGTTTCATCTGATCCAATTTTTGTAAGATGATTCCAAATATTATTATTACTATGCATGTTATTTATTTTTAAAAGAGTGACTTAATCATAAAAAATATTTTTGTAATGTAAGCGAAAGATACCAACGGCAAAGGAGGTAAATTCTTATCATATATAAATAAACATGTGTGAAATGGTATGCAAATAAATAAATAAATATTAATTAGGAATTAGCTAAATATATTAATGAAGGTCAGATATTATATTTATGCTAGCCAGATTTTATGGTTATGCAGGCCAGATAATCGTATTTCGGGATCATATCAAAAATCCCGCGTGTGCCCATCTCTAGTGCCTGCATAGATTTCTCCCGTTCCTGGTTTTGCGCGACAACGTTGCGCAGCTACTTATTTTAATAAAAATGTAATTTGCCATGTAAATCATATAGAAAATGATCTACTATACCCATTACCCTTAACATCGCTAAAATAGTATCGGTCAGGATTTTAACCGGTCGATCACAAACCTTTGACCGACCGACCCCTATGCAGGACTTATCATCCCTATACATCACATGCTAATAGTGACAACCTATATATTTACTGACTGTATTACACAGCTATCTTATGCAAGTTTATGCGCATAATATGCAATTGCAAATATGCACCAGCCCTAACCATGTGTAATGTTACACGATCAGGAAGGTTCAAACAAGTGTTTATTTTACCAAAAATCACTTTTAACTTAAAAATTCGCATATTCAACTGCCTAACAAAAAAAATTCCTTCCAAGATTTTATCATATGATCAACTTTTATAATTATTCTAATCTTAACTAACGATAACCCTAATCGCGTAAAAAAAAACTGCTGTCTTGATTTCACATTACACCTGATCTTATGGGGTGCATCACAACGCAATGATAAAATCCTTTGAAATATTTGTTTCAAATTAGAATATTTGATTTGATTTTGCGGAGTACAAAAGTACTAATTCGTTCTGAAAAGTATAAGAACTGTAATGAAAACTGTAAGATTAAAAAATAATTCTTAATATTGTCACGCTTCACATAAATATATCGAATGAAAATTTTTTTGTAAGAATATTTATTTTTCGGACCAACAACTATTTAACTGCAAAAAATCCATATCTGTACGAATATTCTACATATAATTGCAACCTTTATGAGGTACTCAATGGCGTAATTATAAGATAATGTATTCGTACATGTCAATTAAAGTATATCAACAAAATTAGAACTAAACATTTAAAAATAATTACAACCTTATTTATAAATATATTATTTAATATTTAGTTACAATTAAAATTTTTAATAAATTTCATATGGCTAGTCGGGGTATGGCCCACATTTTTAACTTAAAACCTATAAAATAAATTTAGTATACATATATAAATATTTACAGACTATAGTAGTTTAATTTGTAGATAATTTATTTGAGATGCTTAATTGTAAATAAGACTTCTATTAACTTTATACTCACGATCGTCACGATCTAATACTGATTACTTAAATTATATATAATATAATCTATTAGTACAACTTCGTTAAATTCAAAGTTTTTAATTTATAAATTAACTTCATACTCACGATTTAACACTAATTATTTATATATAATTTATTAGTACAGCTTTGTTTAATTTTAAGTTTAATTTATAAATTATTTTCATACTCACAATCTAAAAATTTAATAATTTATATACAATTAGCGAATTTTGTTAATTTTAAAGTTTTAATTTATAAATTAATTTCATACTCACGGGCTAAGGATTTAATTTATATACGATTAGCGAAGTTTAGGCTAATTTTAAAGTTTTTAATTTATAAATTAATTTCATACTCACGCCCTAATCAATTTAATTTATATACAGTTAGCGAAATTTTGATTAATTTTGAGGTTTTTAACTTATAAATTAATTTCATACTCACATACTAATAATTTAATTTATATACAATTAGTGAAGTTTTGTTTATTTTAAGTTTTTAATTCTATAAATTAATTTCATACTCACGGGCTAATAATTTAATTTATATACAGTTAGTAAAGTTTTGTTTAATTTTAAAGTTTTTAATTTATAAATTAATTTCATACTCACGGTCTAATAATTTAATTTATATACAATCGGCAAAGTTTTATTTAATTTTGAAATTTGGTTTAATTTTAAAGTTTTTAACTTATAAATTAATTTCATACTCACATACTAATAATTTAATTTATATACAATCAGCGAAGTTTTGTTTAATTTTGAAGTCTTGTTTAATTTTAAGGGTTTTAACATATAAATTAATTTCATACTCACAGTCTATTAATTTAATAGAGATACAATTAGTGAAGTTTTGTTTTATTTTAAAGTTTTTAATTTATAAATTAATTTAATACTCACGCACTAATAATTTAATATATACATAATTAGTGATGCTTTGTTTTATTATTTTAAAGTTTAATTTATAAATTAATTTCATACTCACGCCCTAATAATTTGCATATAATTGAAAAACTTTTAATTTTAAAGTATTTAGTTAATTAATAAACTAGATTTTTATACCCACTCTCTAATGATTATATAATCGTAGATTAATATAAATAATGTAAAATTAAACATTTTATTGAATATAAAATAACATAAAGCCATACTTTTTCCGAACGCTTAGTAGGTATAAGAGCAGATTTGATGATAAAAAAGCCGCGGTAATAATAAATTTTAAACAAAATTTGACATTTGTTAGTAAAGTTTAAGTTGGAAGTTCTTAATTGATAAATTAATTTCATACTCACTTTCTAATAATTTAATTAATATACAATTAGCGAAGTTTTGATTTATTTTAAAGTTTTTAATCATAAATTAATTTTCATACTCACGGTCTAATAATTTAATTTATATAAAATTAGCAAAGTTTTGATTAATTTTAAGACCTTTTAATTTATAAATTAATTTTATACTCACGGGCTAATAATTTAATTTATATAAAATTAGCAAAGTTTTGTTTAATTTTAAAGTTTTTAATTTATAAATCAATTTCATACTCACGACCTAATAATTTAATTTGTATAAAATTAGCGAATTTTGTTTAATTTTAAAGCTTTTAATTTCTAAACTAATTTCATACTCACGGCCTAATAATTTATATATATGTGAAAAACTTTAAATTTTTTTTTTAAAGTATTTAGTTCTTAATTAATAAACTAGACTTTTATACCCACTCTCTAAATGATTATGTAGATAATCGTAGATTAATATAAATAATGCAAAATTAGACTTTTTATTGAACATAAAATGACATGAAGCTATACTTTTTCCGAACGCTTAGTAGGTATAAGAGCAGAGTTGATGATAAAAATGCCGCGGTGATAATAAATTTTAACATTTGTTATTAAAAGTTTAATTTTAAAATTCTTAATTTCATACTCACCCCCTAACAATTTAATTTAAATACAATTAGCGAAGTTTTGTTTATTTTTAAGTTTTTAATTTTACAAATTAATTTCATACTTACATTCTAATAATTCAATTTATATATAATTTACATAAAATTTATTATAAAGTTTTGTTTAATTTTGAAGTTTTTAATTTAATAATTTAACATATATAATTAGTAATTTGTTGTTTAATTTAAAATTTTAAAATTATTAATTTTATACTTACGAACTAATAATTTAATATATTAGTGAAGTTTTATTTAATTTCAAAGTTTTTAATTTATAAATTAATTTTATACTCACTCTCTAATAATTTTATTAAATTTATACGGTATGTAATTAATTAAAGGTTCATTTAGTTGTAAGGTTTAAATTTATATATGAAGTTTTTCTACAATAAAATAAACTATACTTTTTCCGAACGTTCGTTAGCCATTGTAAGGGCAGGAGTGATGGTAATGGAAATAAAAGCCAAAACAGCAATGATAATTGTTAAATAAAATTTTGTCACCATTTTGAAGACGATATTTTTTTTCTTTAAAAAAAAAAAAAATTTAGCAGAATGCTGAAGAAAAAGAGTAAAAATTTCGGCAATTTATAATTTCATAAATATGGCTGACGTTGTAATTTATTTACATAATCAATGTGGCTATAAAACTTGCTATATTATTCAGTATTAACATCAATATTAACAAAATATTATATTGTCGTATTATCGAGATACTTTTCCTCATATTGTAAATAATATAGATAATGTAAAATACATAAAGGACTAAGGCTTATTGAAAGAGCCCAATAAATATTAGGAAGTGCACAATGAAGGAGTGAATGAAAACATTTGGGAGGAGCGTAATGTGGAGAGGCGCAATGAAAATATCAGATAAGGTGCATGGGAGATTAAATGGGTCCAATAAAATACTGGAAAGAGGCATAATGAAAAGATTGAGAATAGGGATAATAAAAGGCAGTGAAGGGACGCAATGAAGGTTGGAAAGAGGCGCAATGGGAGATTAAGAAGCAAGATTAAACAGGGATGGGACAAAAGAAAATATTAAGAAAGGCACAATAAAAATATTGGAAGGGTGCATGAGAGATTGGAGTACAATGCCAATATTTGGAAAGGTGCAATAAAAATATTGGAAAGAGACATAGTGAAAAGATTGGGAAGGAACATAATAAAAAGGATTGCAAAGGGTGCAATGAGGATTGGAAGAGGTGCATTGAAAAATCAAAAAGAGGCGAAGTTAAACATTTGAGATGGGGCGCAAGAAAAAATTGGGAAAGGCGCAATGGTGGAATAGAGCACAATGCTAATATTTGGAAAGAGGAATAATGAGAAGATTGGGAAGCGACATGATAAAAAATTGGAAAGGGTGCAATGAGAATTGGAAGAAAAATCAAAAAGAGGCAAAGTTAAACATTTGGGATGGGGCGCAAGAAAAAATTGGGAAAGGCGCAATGAAAAGATTGGAAAAAGTACATTAGGGAATAGGGCGCAATGCTAATATTTGGAAAGAGGCATAATGAGAAGATTGGAAAGGGACATAATAAAAGATTGGAAAGTGGCGCAATGAAAGATTAGCACGACAATGTAATTAGAGATGTTATTAGCACAAGAGGATTGCATCATTTTTGCATTCATTTCGAAATCTGCGAATTTTCTGTGAGTGACCAACATGAAATTGGCAAGGGTAATTTATAGTGAGGCATTCGTACGATTGGCTATTAATTTCAATTGAATTTTACATTATTTATACTGTTTAAAGCACTTTTATAAAAAAAAACAAAGACAACATACAATAAAATAAGAAGGCATAAGTAGGAAGTTTATTAGAGTGTAGGACTTTATTATTAAAAAGTATATTTAATTTTTACTTTTTAAAAAAATTAACAAAGTAATAATGTTATTTTATCCATTTCTGAGAAGTCATTACTTTGTTAACTTTTTTAATAAGAATTAAAGATACCTTTTAATGTTTGAGTCCTACAACTCTAATAAAACATCCTTCTTATTTTATTGTGCTGCTATAAAGGTGCTTTAAACTGTATAAATAATATAAAATTCAATTGAAATTAATAGCCAATCATACGAATGTATTACCATGCTTACTATAAAGGTTAAGTAAATATTTCAAATTATCACTGAAAGCTGGTAACATTCTAAATATAATTTTGCTTTTTGGAAGGTTTATTGTAATAATTGTATTGTGTAGGTCGTGTGATATGTTAGATATAGACTTATCTCGCACAAGGCGTATGTCTAGATATAATTATTAAAGATTATAAAGTATAATAAAACATTGAGATATATTTAATATTATTGATTAGCAAACGTTTGAAGTATTCAAAGAAATTATCATCATGAGTAGTCATTTCAATCTCTTGCAAATTTCACTCATTATTTATTTTATCCCAGCTAAGTATTTCAACTTGTCAGTCAGATAATTACACCGTAGTTATACAAATTGACTTTGGTCTAATACCACATGAACATAATCTTCCATAACTTGGCTATCAGACTAAGTGGCTGTTTTATTGTAAATTCTAAATACAGTTGCACCTTTCTAAGTGCATCCCGTCGGGACCATAGTGAAATAAATTAAAATTTCGCACTTAGAGGAGGTTGCACTTATAGAGAGTAAAATACATAGGGTTCTTATAAGTTTTGCTAAACCGTATCGTGATTTTAATAGGAGGTGTGCGCTTAGGGAGTGCGAAAATATATGTCCATTTCTTTCGAAAAGGCATTTAACTTGCATTTACTTTTTTATTATGATCGTAGTAAAAAAGGTGTGAAACCAATACGGTTAATCCTGTATATAATCCCAAATTATTTACTTATAAAAAGGTGATCATAAAGGGTTGGGCTTATATAGGTTGTTTTTTTAGTAATTTGTTCTTGAGTACCGAATATGATAACGACTGATGTGATTATAGAAATTATAGAGATGACTGTATAAGATTGCTCTATGTTTTATTAATATTTATGATATTTTCCAAAATCCCTGGCATTAGGGTGATTAAGAATTGATCTGATTTCGAATAGCATGTTTAAAAATTCATTTATTGGTCGAGATCATGTTAATAAAACTCGTGACAATTTATTTGTCTGTGATCCTTTCGATTATTTTTTATTTTATAAAAAAGCAATTCTAAAGTATATTTATTATAAAAAGTGGTCTTATTTAAAGTCAATCTGATTAAAAGATCTTTGAAACCCATTTTTAAATCTTGAAAATTTGTTTTAAAGACTACAAGTTTATATTAATTTTATAGCGATTCTGTTGTGCATTATACAAATTTTCTTTTGTAAAAATGTTTAGTTTAAAAACGAATTATTTATATTGTGCAATTGAATTTTATAGCTAATAAAAGGAATTTAAACATGCTATTGAATAATATTTTTTTAAAATAAGCGATCCATTAATTAAACTTTTTTTGTATGATAATAATATATGAAATATTTTATTTGCCCCGGATGAATTACTCACTCTTTAAGTACAAAATGAATTCCCAGTTATATTAATGTATTATGATTAGAATTAGGTTAAAGGTAAAATTGCGCGAGAAACATTTTTGTTATGTTACACGACAAGGTTACACAAGCAACCATTTTGAGATATTAGCATTTTCAAATTTTTTTATAGGAGTATGAGTAATGATGCCTCTCAAAACTGTTCGAAAATTCCATAATATCGAAATATTGATATCGAAACTCGAAAGTGGTATTGAAACTTGAAAATGTTATCGAAACTCGAAAATGGTATTGGAACTCGAAAATGGTATCGAAATTCAAAAGTCTATTAAAAGTCAAACATACTTACCAAAGTTAGTATTATTTAAGTCCAAGTTTATGCATTGTTATTTTAATATACTAACTAGGTTTGTGTTACAAAAATTACATCTTACATTATTTGTAATTTTATATAAGTTTGAGTAAATTGAATTTTATATAATTTTGATCACATTATATAAAGTACTGAGATTATATAAATTTTGGTCTCATTAGATTTATTTGATTTTAAATAAATTCTTACTATACATATTCAATATCATGTGAAAAAATTAAGAAAAAATAGTATAATTTATTATAAAAATAACAAAAATTTTATATTATGTGATCAAAATTACAATTATTATATAATTTCATTTTTTTTTTTTGTGTTAAGGTGAGGTTTTGCCTTTATCTTTATTATTAATTTGTTTTGGGCAACTACGAGAGTTGA